GAACACAGCCAACAGCATATCTAATGCTGTACCTTTATAGTGTCTTTTTTTGTTATACATTCAAATTTCTGCACAGTTTTATTTCCTCATCTGTATCCTGTTTTCCTTGGTCTTCATGATGCCTTTTGTTCTTTAATGTTGTCTAACAAACCTCTGTGTTGTTCACGTAACAGCTGGGTTTATGCCGAAATGTAATCAGTAATGCATTTATAAAAATATTAATATGCCATGTTTTTAGCACACTGTTTTATGTTGGTCTGTCATGTGAACTTCAAATAAAAAGACTTTAAAGTTTGTGGTTGTGACCCAAAAAGAAGTGAAAAAGTTTGATATTTATGAACGCTTTTTAAAACCTGTGGAGTTCTGTACATTAACATAAACTAGAAAACTTTCCCTTGTTGCTCTGCTACATTCAGTAAATGATGCTGTAATTATTCAGCTAAAAAATGACCACCGACACCCCACACACTCCCTGGTCCTCCACAGGGAGCAGCGTGGGAGAGGGTGTTTGCAATGATAGATGAGCTTGATCTCCCACCACGTGCTCCGAGGAGTTGACATTCCCAGGCAGTTTGGATCACGCCTTTCTTCCCTTTTTATGATGTGACTTTTGCTGAGACAAGTATGCAGGCCTCATTTACTGAACCAGCGGGGAATAATGTAGTGCCAGCATTTGGATGTGTCAGGTCCCATATCTCTGGCTGTTCTATTAGAAATAGACCCCGGTGTGGTGACAATTAACCTCTGGCCTCGGCCTCAGATCTGTGCAGTTACAGCCCAGTATGGGGAAATAAATCAAACCTAGCAAGAGAAACGCAGAGTCTTTCCAGCTTTGGGTGGCTTCTACTATCACCTACTGGACTGAACTTTGGAATTTCATAAATTTGCTTGAGATGAGGGTTTCCTGTGTCCATGGTCGTGGTGTGTTGATAAAGGCATAAAACACATCCTCAGTTGGTGTCAGTGCCCTAATGGATGCACCCATCGGAATATTGTGGGCGACTTTTAATCTCTAGCTTTTGCAGCGCTGATACAGCTATTACCTGATTCCAATTTATTTTGAAATACTACATTAGAAGCATATATAAAAACTGCATTTTTTTCTAATCTTCCTGTCATGGCTGAACATTATTTATTTAGATAAGGAGAAGAGGTAACTTTTTACTGCAAGAGTAATAGAACAGCCGGTACTAAACAAGATTTTTACTATCATTTTTATTCAGAGATAAAATGGTTTTGTTATTTAGGTTTCCTGCTAAATAGAAGTAGTGTCAGTGTTCCTCTTCACCCAAAATTGTGGAGGTCTAATTAACAATAAGATTTCCAAATGTATTGTTCTCAATGACAGACAGAGGTGGAAACATCAAGCTCAAAACTTTGCTTAAATGTGATTTGCCATCCTTTTATCTAATTATTCTTGCTCTCACTCACATTCCTTAAGCTAATTAACCTAAAGCTTTGTCTTAAAATAGTAACACCATTATATTGCTATAAATTAATATAGCTTGGATTTTGTCAAAACAGTGGAAGCAAGAAGATTTCTTCTATATTCTATTAACTTTGATTATTTGAATTTTATAATATTAACATTAATTTACATTTATTGATATGAAGAGTTCATTTGAAAAAACAGATAACTCAGTTTCTATAAATTTTCAAAAAAATACTTATATTAGCAGTGCCATGCAAAGAGTAAATGACATGCCTCTGCTCATTTTTTTTTTAAATTGGCGTTTATCTGTTTATTCAAACGAACTCTTCCTCAAAATACTACGATTACTGCAACTATAACTACTGCTACTAATAATAAATATTTTCCAAAAATGTTTTTTTTTGTGTTATGTCAATAGTCAATAAAGGTCCAACTGAATTTTAAAACAAATCTTTTCACTTTCAGGCTTTTAAAGATTTCTTATACTTACAAGGATTTTAAAGACAGCTGACAATATCAGCACGTTCTGGTCAGGCAGTCTTTATTAGGCATTGTTCAAAGTATTAACATTAAAGAATAAAGATAAATTATTCTTTTCTAAATTTACTCTCCAGCAAGAGAGTAAACTTATATTAAATATTCCATTATGCATCAATGTAATTACATTAATCTAAACCATTGATTTCAGCACAAAGCAACAAGAAACAGGC